CGTCGCTCTCAACCTCCCCTATTTGCGCAAATGGTCAAAGACTATTTCGCTGTAACGAAAGATGTAGAAAGCTTACGACTCTGGATTCCATCTATAGACAAGGAAATGCGCTGGTGGATTGCTAACAGAAGCGTCAGCGTTGAGTTGCCCAATAAAACGATGGGTTCTGTGTTTCTTTATCGAGTAAGTTCTTCTTGATTGTTGACTTTTGCGGACTTGAACACTTCAGACCGAAACGAACTGTCCGCGACCAGAGAATTATTTGTCCGACTATCTACTTGGCATGAACAACACCGATCCCTTGATTACCTGGAAAGCGATGTCCACTGCTTGCGAGAGTGGTTGGGACTTCAGCACTCGCTGGTTCGATCATGATGGAGACCGTCGGTGTAAGTGTCAAAGGATAAATTAGTGACTATAATTAATCACGCATATGTCTTTATAGATAGAAAAGATTCAATTCGTACGCAGACGATTGTACCCGTAGATCTAAACGTCTACATGGCTTTGAACTACAAATTCTTGGCAGATTCACATGCTTTCCTTGGCAATACCAGGTAGAGTTGGCTTTGGTTGGTGATTAGGAGAATGATGTCGTTTTTTGGGCTTCTAAGTTAAGAGATTCTTTGGGCACTGAGCACAGAATTAGTTTGCATATACCAAAGGTCCCCGCTTTTGCAAATGAAACGCAGGATTGCGGGAAAACTCCTTGTGACAACATCCTTTTTCTAGTGATTCTAGCCACAAGAAATTACAGTGACTTATATTATGTTGGTGTAATTATGCTTAGTTCGAGCAAGTAAGAGGTTTGTGAAAGTTTTGGAGAGAAGATTTTTTGCAATCAATAGTCCTGATATTTGGCTCTTTATCCTTTGAAGCTGGTAGATATGCATATGTGAAACTTTGCTTTATCGCACACTGCCCCGTACGCTCTACTGCCGCTATATTCTAAAACACGACTTCATTTTCCTACCAACCCGATGTTTGGACAGGGAAAAAATAGTCATCTTGCTCGTATTTTCAGCATGTCTGATTGGTATAAAGGAAAATATGGCG